TACAATGGCTGTGAAAATCCTATATAAACTTTGCCTGAAGTTGCTTCAGGGCGGATTGCTCTAACCAGGCCTGCGTGTCTTAGGAGGACGGTCGACCCCAGCTAGCTGGCTTAATAAAGACTTTGCTTGAATTACATCTCTGAGCTCGTACATATTGTTTTCCTGGGAAGCCCACGGAGTCTCGGACCCTAACAAACTATACTATAAAAGAATCACCTGTCCACATGACCAATTTTTAGAACCCTTACCTGACTTTATTTTTATCATTATCCCTTGCATGCAGTGGTTCACTCAGTTTCGGGAATGAGTTTTTCATTGCTGCCTGTCCTCTTAATAGGGACCTAGGCTGCTTAGAAGAGGCTTTTTCACCAAACATGTAATGCTCCTTTCTACTACCTAAGCCATGTGCCCTTTTTCCCAATTTGTGACACTTAACAGTAGCCACGCGTTTTGTCAATTAACAAAACATAAGTTCTAGGAAAGCCCTTTTCCACTTCCTAGCTTCTGGTTGGTCTCTATCTTCCAGTTCTCCCAGAAGCTTCATGAGCACACCTGGTGGCCCGTTCCTAAACCTCACTTCCTGCACTCTGTTTTCCTAAACAAGCAATACTCCAACCTTACCAGGAGAACTAATAGACCATGACAACACAGCCAATAATTATGGGTTTATACTGGGAGTTCTGCTGGGGTGCAGGGTGCAAGGGAAGGCTGGACTGGCTAGCCTGGAGTTATCACTGTATACCACCCAAAGACATCACAGCTTTAAAACAAACAGACTCCTGGGATCAGGAGCTCCTTACATTCTCCAAGATTTATTTCTCTTCCTGAGTCTTCATTTAAAAGTGATGTCCATCTGAGACGAGCATTCTCAGACCATCCACAGCAGCATGATAAATCTGGGGATGAGACTGAGGTAGCTCGCAGCACAAGCCCGCTGGGACCAGAGTTGTGCCCGCTGGGACCAGAGTGTGGCGGGGGCTGCTGACATCCCCAGCGAACCGGACTTGTCAAGGGCTGGAAGTGCCTCAAGTTACCAGGTGGGTGCTGGCACGTGGGTGGTGTTCTGTTCCCATGGCAACTTCATTGTCTCCAGGTCCAGAACTTAAACCTAGCCTAGGGGAAGAAGGCGGGGTCTAGCTCCAGTGAGGCACAGTGTGGCGCCTAGAACCAGGTGGGCCTGGGCGGGAAGCGACCCCCAGCTGCAGAGGCGACTGCCCAGCCTGGGAACTGGCCACCTGGGGAACAGCCTAGCCGGGGAGGGAGCCAGGGAGCCGGGCGGTGGCTTTCTGGTCCGGGCTGCCTGGCAGGCCAGGTGCACCTGATGGAGTCCAGAAAAGGTGGACCAGACATGCATTGCTGCAGGGTTTAGAAGTCATAGAAGAAAACTGGGGAAAAGGAGGACAAGATTTTCCCTAGAGATAGGGACCAACGTTTGGTGTCCTAATCCAGAATTCTGTGGAACTGCGTAGGAACTGGGTGTAGGACTTTGAGGGGTCAGAACTCTATGCCCAGGCCAAGGTTGTGAAAGAAGGGTTGGGGGAGAAATAATTGGTGCTCTCCATCTTTATCATGGTTGAGTGTTCTGGAGCCTTGGTCAAGGAAAGCAACTAGTGTGTTCAGTGAGTGGCATTTTTCTATATGATGAACAAGGAGCCACTTGGAGAGTGTTAATGTTCAATGAAGTGTGCATTTAAGGTATGGAGGATAGTCTTGAGAAATTCATGAACATTTTCAACCACATTTGCTCCCCTTGCATTTCAAACACTTTCCCCAACAGCTAACACAAGCAACCAAAATAGACGCAGGAAATTTAGCTTGTGAACTAGAACCTTCTATTTAATGGTAGCATGGCCCCTTGGGGAAAGGAGAGTTAACCAATCACTAGCTGTATTTCATGTGGTACCAAGAACTAGTTACTTTGTTTAGTTATTTTCCTCAGTCCTGCCAAACAGCATTTGGTTTGAGCTGGTCACTACTGTAGCTTGGCTGACCACTGGTTTTTGTTTGGTTGGTTTTGGTTTGGTTGTTTGCGTTTTTGTGTTTTGTTTTGTTTTGATTTGATTTCTTTTAGTTTTTGGGTTTTTGTTTGTTTTGTTTTGCTCTTTCATTTTGAGCCAGGCTCTCCCTGTGGCCACAGCTGGTCTGGAACTCACTATGTAGTCCAGGCTGGCCTTGATCTCAGAGAGATCTGCCTGTCTTTGCCTCTGCCAGGATTAAAGGCCTGCATCACCACCCCAGTTAAAAGCAGTTTTGTGTGTGTGTGTGTGTGTGTGTGTGTGTGTGTGTGTGTGTGTTTAAGAAAAAATTTAGGGGCTGGAGAGATGGCTCAGTGGTTAAGAACACTGGTTGTTCTTGCAGAAGACCTGAGTTCGAATCCCAGCACCCACATGGCAGCTAACAACTGTTCATAACTCCAGTCCCAGGGGATCCTACAGCCTCTTCTGGCCTCCATGGGCATTGCACAACGTGGGTGCGCTTACCTACATAGAGGCAATACATGCATATTCATAAAATAAAAATAATAAAGAAAAAATTTTAAGCACTTTTGAGAAGTAATGTGAAATTAGGAAAGAAGAAATATGACTCCCAACAAATATCTTTAAGTTCTGATTCTTAGGGGTCCCTATGCATGAGTTTGCATAGTCTATTTGTAGATTTATATTTAGCAGTTTTAATTTAATGTCAGTAGCATTCAGCAGAGGAAAAACAGAACAATGAGCTAAGCCCTTTCTCCTGAAGCTGACCTAAGGTGTAATTCTTGGTAGGAAGATGCAAGCCAGCCCCATCTGCATTCCAACCGATAGCAATGACACTGACTGGGACTTCTGCTTCCACCTGTAAGTATGACTGAAACTTGACGTGATACTCATGGGCCAGAAAGAGTGGGACTTCCCATTTAAGACAAGCCTAGGCAAAATCTTTTTCTATATATTAGATAGAAGAGGTTTCCTTGCTATCAGGTGTGTTAATAATAATTATGGAATAATACCTTTTGGTGTCTATGACTTCTGAATGAGGAAAGACTATCTTTTCTACTTTATGAAGAATTTTAAGTTTTTAAAATAAAGTTACATAATTTATAACAAGTCTAGAGAAGCCACTGAGAAAAATATAACAAAATCAATGAGAAAGGTTTCATGAACTAGAGAGGCAATGAATACAAATTTTTACATCCTGATAATTAATGCTTATGGAGTACATTCTTGCTATCCTCTCACAACTCTATGAGAGAGTGACTGTCAGGACTATATTCTATAGATTAGGAATATAAATCAGAGAGAGGCTAGACAGGTTTTTTATATATAAATATTGTTATTGAGCTTTTATAATTTCATACAATAGTTCTTAATAAAATATAGACCCCCACTCCCACCCATGCCTCCCCCATCCCCACACCAGACCTCATGTATTCCGCCATACATGTTAAGGCCTAATGTCCCTCAGTTTAAATTTGTCCACTGGAGTCTGGTCAGCCCATCCAGTGACCATATGTAAGTCATACTCTCCCTCACCCAGCAGCAATCAGTCTCCAATAGTTCTCAGTCTAGTGCTGGTCAACCATCTATTTCTCTCCTCCCCTTTGGGCCCTTCTTTAATTGGCATGGGTCCTGTGCTTGATGCCAGAAGTTCACATGTGCAGATGTCCAGTGGCCTGGAAGCCTCTGTGTTCACGAACCAGCCCTGGCTCTTACAATCTTTCTGCCCCCTCTTCTACAATGGTCCCTGAGCTGTGAGTGGATGCAGTTTCATATAGGAGTCCTATCCTACACTCTGCAGTCTCTCATTCTCTAAAACTTGGCCAGTTGTGGCCTTCTGTGTGCATCGTACTCTGTTGTATAAGGAAGCTTTACTGGTGAGAGTGGAAGGATGCATTAATTTTCTCTCTACCCCTTGCTCCGTTATGTTCCATGAGCCTTAGTTGTAGAGGTTCAACCGTAGATGTGTCACCTAGTATGAAGCATCTCTCAGACATATGTTCTCTATGTCTGACCAGGTGTGCAATTCTACAGTAGCCTCCATCTATTGCAAAAAGAAGCTTCTTTGATACTTGTCTGTAAATATAAAGATTGATATTTAGCATACAGTAAAGAAATTTCATTTGTATAGAGATAGGAAAGAGAATTTTCTCTAAGATCTATGTCCTCTATGTGTATTTGGCACCCATGGTTTACAGTCCCACCCATGAGTTCCCTCCCATTGAGAGGACTTTAAGTCCAATCAGATAGCTGTTGATTGTCCCCCAGATAACAGTGCTACCACTGCACCAATAGAGGTAGTTTGCCATGCAGGTCAATATGGTTATTAGGCTTTAGGGCTGCATTGGGCCACTGATTGTTTTTTTCCTTTAGCAGTTTTCATATCATTATCTAGCATTATGATAGCCAAACTTCAGTTAAAAGGCTTCCAGGTCAGTTCCTGCTCTGTTGTGTCAAGTCCTGTATCCTAAGTATGTCCTGTTTTCAGCACTAGGGTCTTATATACTAGTTCTGGGAGATAGCTGAGAGGTTTGGCAATAGCCTGTGTTATTTTTGGGAGTCTCCTGGAACACCTTTACTAAGGCCACTCAAAGGGAGGTCTCTTCTGTCTGGTTCTGTGTTCCTTGCTGTGCTGGATGTAGTTGTCAACTTGACACAACTGGGTAGAGGAAGCCTCAAATGGTGAATTGCTTCCATTGGACTGGCCTGTGGTCATATCTGTGGGGCATCTTCTTGATTGCTGAGTGATGTGGAAGGGCCCAGCCCACTGTGGGTGGTGCCATCCCTGGACAGGTGGGCCTGTGTTGCATTAGAAAGCATGTTGAGCAGGGGCCAGGGGAGCAAGTAAGTAAGCAGCATTCCTCCATGGCCTGTGCTTCAGCTCCTATCTTCAGGTTCCTGCCCTGAGTTCCTACCTTGAGCTTCCTGATGAACTGTGGCCTGGGAGATGTAAGTCAAATAAATCCTTTCCTCCCCAAGTTGGTATTGGTCAGAGTGTTTCATCACAGCTATTGAAAGTGAACTAGAACACTTACCAAGCAGCTCCCAGGTGTACATATGCACTAATATTCAGACATTGTATGTGCATTTTTCCATGGGATTTCAAGGGCATCACATTTCCCTCTAAGTCTCCTAGCCTCCCAAGATTCATTCATCTCTGCTCTTTTTTCTGCCACCCAGCCTCCCTCCTCCATCCCTAGTCCAAGTGCCCTCATTATCCCCACTCTCCCCCCCAATAATATCCACTCTCCACCATCCTCTCTCTCCTCTCCCTCCCACACGCACCATGGCCTCTTGGAGGTGAGACAGTTTTGCCCAAAGTTGCACAGAAAATTAGTAGTACTTAAAACCAGACAGTCTGTCTCTGGAGCCCATTTTTTAAATCATTTCTCTATATTACAAGAGCTCTACTTGTGGCACTGTTGACTTTCGGGGCTGGATAACTCTTTGGTTAGGAGACACATCCTGTGAGTTGTAGGAAGTTTAGCAGCGTACCTTGCTTTTAGCCACTAGATGCCAGTATAGTGTGAATTGCATTATGGTAGAAAGTTGGGGAAAGTTTTACAAGCTTTTTAGAGTGTCTTGATCACCAGTTCCAAGGTCTGTATTATGTCTTGAAGGAAGGCAATAGTATTTAGCAGACAGAGAAGAGGCTCCAGTCACATCTCATGACCAGCCTTCCCTGGTTTCTTTCTTTTCTTTCTTTCTTTCTTTCTTTCTTTCTTTCTTTCTTTCTTTCTTTCTTATCTTTTTTTGGTCTGCTAAAAGTGTATTTCTCTACCGGGAGGGGATCCTCTCCTGGTCTGAAGAAGTGCCTGTGTGTCCTATCCTTATGACCTAGCTTTCTTGCTTGTCTCTAGGTATGGTATTTGGAACAAGACTCTGGATACATTCTATACCATTTTTCAGACTTGATGTGAAAGATAACACAGGACATTCACTTTCCTGTCATATCTTCCTGAATTTTCCCCTTTTAAAAAAATAATAAATACATATACATCACCTAGTTTATCATGGGAAAGAGGGATAATTTTTTTGAGATGAGATCTTGTTATGCAACCCAGATTGGCTCAAAACTCATAATCCCTCTGCCTGTGCCTCCTGAGTACTGGGATTATAGGCATAAGATACCACAACTGCTTGAGAAAGATAAATTTTATTTTAAAATTTTTGCAGTGGCTGGACATTTATAATTAACTGTCATTGATCTTAAGATCTCAGAATTCTATTTCTTTCAGATCATTTTAATTCATTCGTTTTTCTGGTGATATTAGGATATGGTAGTTTCTTTTCTTTATGGATACAATTTCATTTACCCTCTTCAAAATTGGTACCAGGCTTGAAGTCAGGGATCTTCTATGCTGCACATGAATTTATTTATGGTGTGTGGGAGAGAATTTTCAATTCAGTTCTATCTTACTACATTTGTTTCTAACACAACTCAGGGTCATCCTCTTCTCTCTCTGCACTTGACCTAGTGTGGGGTTTCTCTCTTCTCTTCCATGAAAGCCACATCCTCTTTAGTTACCCTTTATTGCATGCTGAATTTCTTGAGACTTAGGATAAGTCTAGACCTGTGAAGTCAGAATGTTAGTTCCCTATCCCTTATTTCACTACACCCATTTTCTTTTGTGGGTTGGATCTGAATTTTAGGATCTTTAAGATCTTCTAATTCAATACTCTCATGTTGTAGATGAAGAAACCAAGTCATGGGCCAATAGTAATAGTAATAGCTAGTATTAAAGGAGCATTTACTAGATGCCAGTCACTGTGCAAAGAGATTTATGAGTATTATTTTCATCCCTCTAACTGTATCAGGTAGCATTCCTATTGACCCAGTTTAACAGAGAAGTTGATTATGAAACAGTTGTTTACAGTCGTGTGGTGCAAGCAGCAGAGCTGTGATTCTAATGCAGGTGATCAGTTGAGCAAATCTGTTTACTTTGAGCCATGTTGCTGTCCTTGATGCTGGGTCTTGAGAGTGACATGAGGTTACTATGTATCTTTATTCTTTCAAGCTTAACTTAGAAAGCAAGTTCCCATTCCCCAGCTGGGGAACTTGAACCTTGTACTTTTTTTTGAGAATCCTGATCCATGCCCATTTTATGTCCACAGGTCACAGCAAACCAGGACCCCAACATACCAATAGACAGATGAGTTTTCTACCTATGAGTATACAGATAGTGAAGAAGATACCGCAGTCCAGAAAGAAGAGATGGATTTTGACTATATGTCTTCCCAAAGAAAAATTAACTCAATCCCAGAAGAAAATAACTCAGCTCGTTAAGGAAAAAATGGTAAAACAAACAAAATATTTACTAGGTGTTGGTTGCCTTCTAAAAGTATGTCCATGGGGATGGAGAGATGGCTCAGCAATTAAGAACACTGATTGTTCTTGCAGAAAACCCAAGTTCAAATCCCAGCACCCACATGGCAGCTAACAGCTGTCCCTAACTACAGTCCCAGGGGATCTGACAGCCTCTTCTGACCTCTACGGGCATTGTACGACACAGGTGCACTTACCTACATGCAGGCAATACATGCATACATGTAAAATAAAAATAATAAAATTTTTTTAAAGTTTAAAAAAATGTCCATGCACTGACTTGACACGGTGGGCCTTAACACCCAGGACAGAGTATATAGTTCCAGTGGGGGCGCTATGGGAGGGTGCTGGTGGGGACAGGGCTATAAAGATGATTCAGATCATTTGAGATGTTCTGTATGAAATACAACAAAATTTAACAAAAAAAAATTTAAAAAATAAAAATAAATAAAAATTTTAAATATAAAAAAGTTAGAATAACTACTATGCAAGGATGAGAGGTAGGGATTGTCTGAATATAGTAACATGTAATTAAGAACAGCATTAGCTAGACAAGTGATTATAAATAAAATTAAGAGTTAAAAATGACAACCTGCTGTTCATTTTCCCAGTTCTACGCTGGGTTACTGTCTGGGACTGTCTTGGGCCACCCTGGCCAACAACTCAAAGGAAGGTTTCTCCTGTCTGGTGTCGTTCCTTTTTTTTTTTTTTTTTGCCAGCAACATCCAACAAAGACTTTATTAGTCTTCTCTTCCATCTTTTTTTTTTCAGATTTTTTTCTTCTTTGATTTAGTTTTTTAATTATTTGTTTAATAACCACAGAATCAGAGGAAGCATTTCATTACAACAGCACTGATATATTCAATAACAATTTCCAGAGCTAAGATGCATCTCGTTCAAAATTGGCTGTAAAGTTTTAGGTTTACAGTTGAATTGATACAGTTATACAGTATTGTACTCAGTACAAACCCTATAAGACATAAAATTAAATGAGGTTTTAAACCAAAATCTTATCTAAAGGATTGACAACTGATTGCTGCTAGATGAGGAACAGCTGATCTTCCTAAAACAAGGATCTTTAGACAGGCTGACTAGATTCAGCAGACGGACAAGCACTAGGGAATGGCTGGGGTGCCGACAACACAGTGGACAGTAACAGGGATGCAGAGTATATGGGCTCCAGTGTGTGTGTGGGGGGGCTATGGGAGGGTGCTATTTGGGAAGTGGGTATATAGATGAATAAGATTGTGTGGGATATTCTGTATTATAGACACACACAAAAATCAACAAATTAATGAAAAAGACATATTTGAGGAGGAAGCATAAAAATTTACTTCATGTTAATTAGTAGAGGTGATAAACATTACCACTGAAATCTAGCTGATGACTTTATATCCATACTCAGGTGCCAAGGATCTGAGTGTAACTGACTGTCACCAGTAATAATCAGATACATAGAGATTAAAGACATACATGCAAACCTCTAAGTGTTAGTAGCATTAAAAATGTAGGAAACAGGATATTTTAAAATGAAATGGAGATCTTCTTTAAAAGGTAAAAACTCATTTAATTTTATGTCTTACAGGGTTTATACTGAGTTCAATATTGTATAACTGTATTAATTCAACTGTGAACTAAAAATTTGTAGCCACTTTTGAAAGCGATGTATTCTTGCTCTGGGAATTGTTACCGAATATGTTAAAGCTGTAATGCGATGCTTCTTCTAATCATGTGGTTATTAAATTTTTAAAAAGAGAGTTAAAAAATGACAACCTTCACTCTTCTGTTTGATAATTTACAATTTGTAAATTTAAAAATATAAAAATTAAGTAAGGTGGAGCACACCTTTAATCCCAGCACTCAAGAGGCAGAGGCAGGTGGATCTTTGTGAGTTCAAGGCCAGCCTGGTCTACATAGTGAGTTCCAGGACAGTTGGGCCTACAAGGAGACCCTGTCTCAAAAAGACAAAAAAAAAAAAAATTAAATGCTGTAATTTATAATTTGTGTTTATAAAATTAACTTAATAAAGGTGGAATTTTTTTAAAAAGTATGTTCATGATTAGAGACAGCCTGTCTTTACTGTAGAATGAAGCATGTGGAGGAGAGTGTTATGTTGGGAGCCAGACTGTCAGTTCTCTATTCTTCACTGGAGTGTACCTCTAGCTTTAAAGGAAAAATTAATGTTTCCTTTGTTTTGTTGCTGTTTGGTTAACCTTACTCTAAAAAGTTCTTATTTCTGCTGTAAGGTTTCAAGATGATTCTTAGATGTGAAGAAGGTCAGGATAGCAAGGCAGGAAGCTAAGAACAATGGTAAGCCAGACACTCAGGCCTGGCGAGGATATAGGTAGGATGCCTGGCTAAGAACAATGGTAGGCAAGCAGACACTCAGGCCTGGCAAGGGTACAGGTAGGATGCCTGAGGCCACAGTAGAATTACAAACCAAAACAAGAGTCAGAAGCAGAGGTGAAAGTTCATGCATTTCTAAGGCCTAGTCAAGGACTTGGGAACTAGGATCTCTGAGCAGGTATATAAGCCAAGAATGTTCAAAACCCAGGATCATGAGACAGCAACACATTCACTTTTGTTACTAGAAAAAAGTCACATCCCTGCTTCCAGATCATGATTTGTCAACAGAGAGGTTCATACACTCATTTCCAACAGATAAGTTCATACACTGATTTCCTGACCATTCATGGTCAAGGGAAAAATGACTTTAAAGTGAGTGTGGAAAGCAGGGAGATAGCTCACAAAAGACTGAGGACCTTAGAGGGAAATGATAGATGTTGATACCTCTCTAGATGGGTGTAAATTTACCTCTGCAAACTATTCAGAGAACTTGAAGAGGATTATCATCATGGCTTGGACTACTCGCTAGTTCTCATGTGCATTCTAGAAATACCATTACTATGTGCAGAAAAGTACCATCTTTTATTCAGTACAAGTCTGAGTTTTGAAGTTGTGAGACTCTTCGGCCTATTTGAATGATGGAAATACATCTTACGTGTTGAATGTCACTCAACCCAATATTTGCAGCCCTGAAAGACAGATGCTACAGTAAGTAGCAACAGTGGATCCCACATTAGTTGCTTCTTTTTCCCTGAGGCAAAGAGGATGAATATATACTGTCAAGAGCCAGCCAGTCCAACTCGAAGCTCCAGACTCCTGTTTCTGGGACTTTTTCTGGTATTATGCTTTTTTTTTCTCAAACTTAATATTTGCTGTGGTTAGCCCATGCTGAAATCTAAAATCTGCTGGCTAGATATTTTAAGTATTGAGGAAAATGTTCCTTGACTATGGCTTGCTTGATGAGAAACAGATGAAGTGTCAGGTTAAGAGAGTAATCATAGGAGTCAGGAGGAAGTGGTCTGTGGGTCCACAGGAAGTCTTACTCTCTTTGTACCTTGTTCTTTAAGTGGGTTATAATTAGATATCTCTTAACAAATTTGAATCTTTTGAACTAATTTTTTTCTTACAATAACTCTGTAATGTAGATGGTATAGGCTTCCAAATCTCAGGAAAGGATACTGGCATTTGGACAACCTGACCCGAAGCAATGTGACCAACAAACAGCACAGAAGGGCTGAAATTCATGCTTTGGATTCCTTGAAGTACTGATTTCACTTCACCTAGAAATCAATGCCTGATTTGTTGACTGCTGCAGCCAATGGATGACTGTGTCTATGAAGTCATGAAGTGCTTTACATCAACATGTAGTTTGTGATTTCCTAGATATCTCTGCCCACCATTTCTGCAGTGGCATTGGGCTCTTATCCTTATCCTAATTTTCATCCTTATTCAAATAGATGATCCATTTGGTGTATGTTACATCTGTACCTCCTGTGTGCACAGACCATACAACAGTGGACACGAGGAATCAACTTTGTAAGGAAGTACATTCTTTCTGGGGAGAAAGATAATAAGCAAACTGACAGAAAAGAGTAGCTAGTACAATGTCAGATGGGAGCACCCTCAATTTAATGTGTCATGGAACGGTGAGTGGCTATTTTAGAAAAGTAGCCAAGAAAGGCCTCTGAGGTAAACCAAATGTAAGTCAAGTGAGAGGGTGAAGTGCATGAATGCACATTCCCAGCAGGCCCCATGTTGGAAGGTAATCTGGCCCATTTGGGATCAGCAGAGGCCGAAAGAGGAAAAGGAGAGAGGTGGAAGAATGAAGTCAGGATGTGATTGATTAGTGTAGGTCAGATTAAGCAGAGCTGTGGAGGACACAGTAAAAATTTGGATTCCGTTAAAAATTAGAAGTAGGAGGGTTTGTACAGGACAATCGCGTGAACTAATTTATATTTTTAGGAGGTTATGTTGGCACATGGAATGTGTTTTAAAACATTTAAGTTTACAGTAATTAAAGTACTTGCTTGCCATTGGAAAATGTCAGTGAACAAACTTATTATTTTGGAAGTTTGTAAGCAAAGGGAAAGAATAATCCTGTATCCTGCTTTTGCATTACAAACTATACTACAGGATAACCAAAAAAAGTAAATGGAAGGAATTTTTTTAAACATGTTCTTATGGGGGCTGGGGTGCCACGGTGTACTTGTGGAGGTCAGAGGACAGCTTTGTAGAGTCTGTCTCTCCTTCCACCTTTGTCTGGGTTCTGGTCATTCACCAAGCTTGCTTCTTCAGGCAGCAAGTGCCTTTACCTGCTGAGCCATCTCAACAGCCCCTGGAAATTTCTTTTTAGAGACATATTCCAGCTAATATATGAGGGAGAATGATAGAGAGTGAGAAAGCTGTTATTTTTCATCTATTATGAATCAGACCATGTAGCTGTGTTAGTCTCAGGAAAATAGACAAGCAGATATTATCTTCAAGTAGAAAAACGTGTCACTACTTGTAAAGAAGTCGTGACTAAAAAAAAATAATACAGAGGTGTAATGGCGTGGGCCTTTAATCCCAACACTCAGAAGGCAGAGGCAGGAGGATTATGAGTTTGAGGCCAGCCTGAGCTACATAGCAAGTCTCTGTCTTAAAACGCAAACAACAAGGACAACAAAAACCCTCAAAAACTTTTTGCTATTAGATTTATAATGGCAGATATTTGCTGTTAAGAAATTACATACAAAAAAAGAAATTACTGTTAACATTTTGCTGATGATAGTTTTGCAGTTGTTTCTAATGTCACAGCTATCAGAGCTACTTGTGAAATTTTTATAAATGAAATACCGATTTTCTTCAACATAAAAGACGGTGAAGGTGCGTAGACGACAGGCATGAGCAGGATTGACAATGAATGGGTAATTGATGAAGCTGGATGATTCACTCTCTGTCATTAAATCTTTTCACGACAAAAGGCTAAAAGAAGTACTCTGGCTCCCACATAGAAGAAGGAGTATGGAACAAGAGTGGCAGCAGTTAGAATGCCAGAATGCCCTGCCCCATAAAAGATGGGGGTGGCCAAGAGGAGGAACCCAAGCCAGAGACAGAAGAACCTGGTTTTAGGGCAGAGGTATAAAGTGGAGCCTCCTAGACTCTGCACTGGATATGTGATGAGAAAGTATAGCAAGGAAAAAAGATACCAGACAAATTCCAACCACCCTGTAGTCAGGGGCCACAGATTTGTCTCCTTCCCTAAAAAGACTTTTTTTCTCTCTCTGCAGAATATACACGCAAACAAGGAGCTGATTCGGGGTTTGATCCTTTCTCGGATTATTTTGGGGAAAGAACACTGGAAATGTGCACAGGCTTTGGCCAACCTGGCTTATGGCTACCTGACACTGAGAGGTACTTGGTTTCTCCTGCCAGATCTTGGTAGGTTAGCCAATGAGGCTGAACCTTGCCCTCCTTTGGGGTTGGGATGACTGGGAGGATCCTCTCCTTACCCCTGTGTCATACCTTATCAAGAGAAAGAGAGTTCATAAACAAAGGAGAAGGTGTGACTTAGTAATAACGATGATGATAACAGTAGTTACTGAGTGTTCATCATGTGTCAGGGGAGTACTTTTTAGTCCTTCTAAGTACCTTGGAGGGAGCTACAAGTATTAGAATTGCTTTGTGAATAAGACATTGAGGCCCAGTGGAAAGAGGATAGCATCAACGGGGAAAGAATAGGTGGGTTTAAACACTCAGCCTCAGGGGAAGGCAGACCCAGTAATTTTCTCAAGTGTGTATTCGGATACAGGGGTATAAGCTGGAATTCATTTGCTAAACTGGAAACCAAGTAAAAGCTCTGTGATGCCAGTAATGGTTCAACACATATTTAGTAATTTGTTTAAATTTATTTATTTATTTTTTATTTTATTTTACATGTATGAATGTATTGCCTGCATGGATGCAAGTGCACTCATGTCCTACAATGCCTGTGGAGGTCAGAAGAGGGTGTTGGATCCCCTGGAACTGGAGTTATGGATGGTTGTTAGCTGCCATGTGGGTGCTGGGAACTGAAACTGGGTCCTCTTCAAGAGTAGCCAGTGCCGTTAACGACTGAGCCATTTCTCCAGACCCTTGATAAATATTTAACAACAGATTGATGGAGGCATTTCTGAAACAAAGATCAGTGGGAGCTGAGGGGAAGGAATTCTGTATGAAACTCTTTATTGAGAACACTGTAAGCTCTCGTCTTCAGACACAAGTACTGAGAACAGGATTGAACACACCTTATGACAGACAGATTATCTCTGGAAATGGGATTGAGAAGGTGATTTAGACCCAAGATACCAAGGATATTGGAGTTTTTCTAAGAGATTTGAAGAGAGGTGATAATATAATCCAGCTTGTGCTGTAAAATGAGACTCTTAGTTGGACAGATGAGTGAAGGTGAAGACCAGTTAGGCTGCTATCCTGCCCAGATGAGAGGCAACAAGGGCATTGACATGCTATTGGAATGAGGAAAAGAGAATTTAGAATGTAGGCCTGGTGGTATTTAATGTCCAGCTCAATCACAGTGAGAATACAGGGAGCTGTGGGAGTTGACGTAGAGTGTGACTGGGAAAGTTGGCTGAAATACAAAATAAAGATGAAGACCAGAGGCCTGGTGTGGTGGCACATCCTTGAATCCCAGCACTTGGGAGACAGAGGCAGGTGGATCTCTGTGAGTTCATGGCCAGCCTGGTCTATGTCATGAGTTTCAGGCCAGCTGGGGCAACAGGGAGACCCTGACCAAAAAAAAAAGAAAATTAAAGGGCTGAATGTGTTGCTTAGGAACACATGCTTAGAATGCACACGGCTCCAGGTTAGATCCCCAGACCCCTAACACCAAGGAAGAAAAAGCTGAAGACCGAGTTAATGAAAGAGACGAAGAAACCAAAGAAGCTGCCGAGCATAGTTTCAGACAGGCCAGATGATACCTATGTTGAGATGTTCACTAGGCAACTGGAAAGGAGCTCTGAAGCTGGGAAAAGATACCAGTTTAGGAGGGAGTAGTACATACTAGCAAGCTGAAGCCATAGGATGGGAAATTTTTGACCAGAAAAAGTATGCAGAAAGAGGAGGACAGAAGGTGGGGGACATAAGATTAGAAAGCAAGAGTGTGAGCAGTAGTAGCAGGAGGCAGGGAAGGGAGTGAAGAATCTGGAGGGGCCGTGTTGAGGAGCTAAGGGAGGATCAGGTCTTCAGAAAGAAGTGTGGTATGATTTCACCAGTGGTAGATGGTAGAGAGAAGGTGGATGAGGTCAAGACTGGAAAGTGGTGGACTCAAAAATTGGGGCGCCAACACTTGATTTTCACATGGACAAGAACATTTTCTGGGATCTGGGAGAACTCAGATTCTAAGTCACTAGCCAAAGGACTTTTGGTGGAATTCAGACTTGAGGAGATGGACTATGTGAACTGCAAAGGAAAAGATTTGTCTAATCCTAACACCAGGCCAGAGGCTGCTTCTTCTGATGTGGATGAGGATTATCATGGTAGGTTTGTGCAGGGAGCTTGGCCCATGACTTCTGAAGCCTACTCTTTGCACTGTCGGCCACAAACTGATCTTGACTTTGACTTTTCCAATTAGATTTCAAGCTGAGTCAAAAGAAGTAAGGAGGTAATATCACAAATGATAGTGTCAACAACCTTGTCTCCAAAATTCACAATTCTTCTTCTACTTGAGTAGGAAACTACAGTTGGGGTAAGAGTTTAGAAGAGAAAAGTTCTATGAATGAGTGTATTTTTTTGTTCTTGTAGATGGGAAAACTTTGTTGCTAGAAAGGAGTCTAGACCTGAACCTGAGTCCCTGACACCCGGTCTAGAATTGTACAAAAGACTGACTGTGACCTTTCTTAGAGAATAGCTCAGTGCCTCATATTTGAGTTGTAGTCTTTACGCAGTTTCTGTCCTTAAGCCTTTTCTAGTGTTTGGTCCAGATAAGGCTAGAACAGATAAGGCTTTCAAAAATCATAAACCTTCGAGAGGGATGAAGTGTTTGTTGAATTCTACTTAGTTCTGTGCCCATTTAATCCTGTACCTGCTTCAAAATGGACAGATGGACAGAATATATGAGCTAGCCTTCTGTGGGGAGAAGGTGTATATGTGTGTGTGTTATAGAGCAGACCTACTTTCCTCATTTCCCTCTGAGTCCTTTCCTGCATTGGAATATGGGGGTCAAGCCCAAAAGATGATCTCTCGCAATAAACAGTCCTTCAGTTATTTTTTTCATCTGAAAGAAATACCATGAAGAGCACTTTGGGAATATGATGTGCAGACACCCTCAAAGAACTTACAGCCTCATGTCCTAAGTGAATTACCCAGAGACCTATGATAGCAGGCATTAGAAGGTCCATGCCATGTAACTGATTTAAATAAACAGTTTTGGAAAGGTTGAGTGAAGTCATTCCTTACTGAGGCAGCAAGTGGTAGATTAGAGGAAATTGGCATTCAAGAAGGACATGAACAATGAATAGGTTTGGGTGGTAGAAGAAAGCACAGGGCAGCAGGCAGCAGATACTAATGAAAGACAAGAGCAGAGGCAAAGGCGCAGGGAGGGCTGTGCAGGTCTGTTTGGACAGCAGTAGACACCCTATCTGGCTGTGATTTGGACTGGGAAGGTGAAACTGGAAAGGAGGCTGAACTGGGCAGACCATGGTATGACTTTTAAACACAGGCTAACCGATTTGTACTGAGATCGTTGACAAGGAAGACTATTGGATAGTTTCTAGCAGGATGACGAAAATATCAAAGTGTACTTTTAGCAAAGCTAATCTAGCCATGATAGCTAGAGTAGAAGCTGCCTCTGGTAGCTGGGCCTATACTGAGGCTAAAACTAGCAAGAACAAGTGAGAAGGTAAGGACTCAAGAGCCTACGAAAAAAAAGATCGTTTTAAACCACAGATCCCACTTGTGGGAATCTTTCCTAAATACACACAACATATGGATAATAGTACTCTTTGAGCTGGATATGGTGGTATATACCTTTAATACCAGCACTCATGAAGCAGAGGCAGGTAGATCTCTGTGAGTTCCAGACCAGCCTGGTGTACATAGTGAGAACTTGTCTCAAAAAAACAGATTACTCTTTTCAGAGTTGGTTATGGTAGTGAAAGATTAGAAACAACAAAGAATCCATTAACAGAAAACTA